CCGCTCTCTAACAAAGAAGAAACTAGCTCTGATATCTGAGGTGAGTGCAGTCTCGACAAACTGTCACGGACACAGAAATATAGACTCGAGATCTAACAAGAAGTTCAAGAAGAACTGGCAAGAACTAGATTAATCAGATGAATACAAGAACAACACCAGAGAGGTGAGCTAGAGCTCCAAGAGATGTGTTGTCGAGACTGAAGAACTCTTCAGCCTCGATTCCAATATATACTCATATTTAGTAAGCTTCTCAAGCAACTTCTACCAATTAAGAAGCTTCTAGAAGGTTCCAGAGACTTGCTTCTAGAAGGTTCTAGAAACTTATCTCTAGAAGGTTCTAAAGACTATGTTCCTAACATCTTCTACTAACTAAGAAGTTTCTAGAAGGTTCCAAAGACTTGCTTCTAGAAGGTTCTAGAAACTTGTCTCTAGAAGGTTCTAAGGACTATGTGCCTAACAATTATAAGAAGTATTTTTTTTTATTGCACCTAATTAAAATATATATGCATATAAAAATTATAATTAGTCTTATTTAGATACATTTTTAACAAGAATTGAACTTATCCAACTACATTATTCTTTTTCATTTTATTATTAAGGTATTCTATGACTTGGTTTAATTTCTCGATTATTTTTGGATCAAAATATTAATGAAATAAACAACACAACATTAATAAATCAATAAATATTGGACACTACTGGTCCAAAGAATATGGTCACCAACAACGAGAAGTTGTAGAAGTAATAATAATAAGCCACTTCATCTAAAAACCATAAATTTATCCATATCTAGCTACAATAAAAAGAAAGGATTTAAAGTTTGATTTCAAAGTCTTAATGTATTGTTTTAAATTTTTACTTTTAAATATCTTCATTTGCTAATTCATTAATTTTAAATATTTTATGTTCACAAAAAAAATTAATTCATATTTCAAATCTATACAAAGATTTTTTTTTTATTATTTTTATTTTTTATTAACTTTGCTATTCTACTAATTATTTATGGTTTCAACTAAAATCTTGACAAGTTGCTTAAGATCCAAATTTCGAGTAATTTTATAATTTAAAAAACTAATCTATAATAATAAAATGAATCATACTTTTAATATATTAGAATGTGATGTTTTTTTACTTTTAAAAGATCATTAAAAAACAATTTGGATTCTAAATTTTTATTCTAAATAATATTATAGATCTAAATATAATTACTTTTGGAACAAATTAAATATTTTATATACATATTTTTTTAGAACTTTTTATTTACTATAACTATGATTAAAAAATAAAAATTATAATGTGTTATACTTAGATATTTTCTAATATTATGCTTCTAATCCTACTATAATACATGTATAATGTAGTTTTTTAACTATTAACTGTAGTTATAATATCTAAATCCTACTCCATATTAAAAAATTAGGGTGCTTTCTAATATTATATTTTATAGACAACAATAATTACATAGATATATTTTTAATGGACTTTTAATTTTTTTATCAGTAGACTTAATTCATATCCAAGGTTGGTAGGTACAAAACCTTTTATATATTGCATTAATTGTCTTATTTATAAAAAAAAACATTTTTTAAAGCTACTTATTGTATATTTATTTTTAATATATATTATAATATCTTTTACCTTTTAATTTCGTTTCTATAGCAAGAATTGTTTTTGAATAATATTTTAAAAAAATTATCTTAATTACAAAAAATAATTTGACATTTATTAGTTAAAAAATAATTAGAATCAAAATACATGTATTTTTCATGTTAAGAGTTTTAAATTGGTTATTTTTTTAATGATCATAAATTATTTATTACCAATTACTCATAATACTTTTCTAATAATTTCTATTATTTTATTTACTTATATAATGGATATAATTAATTGATAAAGATTTTATTCTAACTATTTATTATAGTAGTCTGATCAAGTCTGTATTATAAATATTGTTTTAGAACTAAGTAAATATATATGCAATGTGTTTTTAGTATTAGTATTTTCTTAACTATATTTTAAACTAAATATTATCTAATTTCAAGTAATCAAATTTATTTACTTTTGTGTTTATCTAGAAAAATACAATATATTTCTTTTATTTAGAAAATATGATTTTTTAATTAAAGCATTGTATTTATATATTATATTTTAAATTTAAGTTATCATCATAAACAATAGCGTAATGACATAATAAAGAAATAAATAGTCTTTGATGACTTTATTGATATCTATCATACTATTTCAATTTAACATCACTTTTTCTATTAAATAGCAATGCATTCAATTTATTTTGTTTAATTTTATCTTTTAAAATATTGTATGATAAATATATTAAGTATACATTTGATTGGATTTTCTATATTAAGGCTCCTAAAATTTATTCATAATACTTTAAAAAATAAGTGAGTTGGTAAAACTTTATTATTATAGAATTTTTCAACATAACCTTCTAAAAACAAAAGAATCTATCTTATGCCACAAATTTAATTACAATAATTAAGAATAATATATTATTTATACTTAGGGAACAAGACAAGAGGCTTTAGATTTTAAATATCTTTATTGGTTATATTAAATCAAAATGTGTTTAAATTAGCTTTTTAAATAAGTCCACAATCCTATAATATAATAATTATAATAATAATAGTTGAAATGAATAATTTTCCTACATAGCAAGAATAGTGTTGTTCCTTAGAATTCCCATTAGGTCCATCTCAAAGAGATAGTTTTTAGAAAATTTTGAGATTTTATGTAAAAAATTACATAAAATAAGCATAAAAAAAAATCAAGTTTTTTTACACTTCTAAAAATTGTTTGAATCAAGACATACTATGGAAAATTTAGACTTATATCAAAAGAATAATTTTGTCTATTTTATGTTTCTATTTGGTCAATATTTTATTCAAAGGCCATGGCTTTTAAAGGAGGGGTTTTCTTTATCAAAAGAGAGATCTTAATAAGACTTCTAAAATATGGCTTTTAAAGTGGTCTTTTAGGTATAAAGTCTTCCTATCTAAATTTTATTTTATTTTATTTTCTAAAAATATCAATAATAAAAAAAACACATTTACTTAATCTTATGTTATTTTTAAAAATAATTTAGATCAGTTTTTTTTATCTCTTATATTATTTAATTATTTATTATAAATAGATATTTCAATACACATCTGCATATTCTATGCATTTCATAGATGCTAATATTTTTCAATTGATGTATTTTTATATATTCTACACATTCTATGAATTTCATTGATGCATTTTTATATATTCTACACGTTCTATGAATTTCATTGATGCATTTTTATATATTCTAAAAAATAATTTTTATTTTTAATAAATAAATATCTTTATAAAACTTTAGCCACTATATTTTATTTTATTCAGTCATTGTCTTTTTTAACATGATATAATTTAATGTGAAATTTCTATATGTATAACTAAGAAAAGTATAGATTTTTTTGTTTTTTCTTTTTTCAGTAGCAAAACATCTAATTATAATACAATATAATCAGATTTGTTAGTGAAATTTCTAAAACGATGTTAAAATCACCGAAATTTATTCCAAACTTACTACAAACATATGTTTGCACTTCCTAGAAACTTGTTGCTTTCAAATTCAAGGGGATGCAATTAAAAATATTATTTATTTATTATAACCATTGTTTTATTTGATTTTACAACAAATTATATCCATAAGGATATACATTCTCACTACTTGGAGTAGAGAAAATGTACAAATTAATTAGTGCATATTGAGTGCTGATTATGCTATCAATGAATTTCACAACACATCAAAGATATACTTATATAATGACAGTCATCCTCGTTGTAAAATTTTAGAATGTAATTATGATTGAATTCTCAAATAATTAGCTTAATTCATTTTAAACATGTATTTATTTATTTTAATTTATTTTTATACAAATTTTAGATAAATAAAAATTTATTTTATATATATATATATATATATATATATATGTGTGTGTGTGTGTGTGTGTGTATATACACACACACTCATACACATGCATTTATATATTTAAAACATCCACTGAAAAGAAACAATAAGCATGAATCTCTTGTGAACAATAGAAGAGTATAGTATACAAACTTAAATTTGTATTTTGGAAAAAAGTATTTGTAGAGATAATATCATGCTGTGAGAATGGATGGAGTGAGATATTCATTTTTGTCACACTTTATTTACAAATTCAAACTGACTTAACAAATTTAAGTCTCGCTGTCATCAGTTGTTTTTTAATAGCAGAGATAGTTCTAACAACTAATTGCTGTATTTTCTGCATTATATCCAACAAAAGTATTTTGTATAAGTTGCGAATGAAATACATATTTTGCATAAATTACTTTTTAAGAAACATGAACAAAATTATGAATTGTTGTTTTTACGCAGAATGCTTTGTTTCACAACAATTAGCTTTCTCTTTTTCTGAAGTGGACATGGCCATTCGAGGTGTTTGAACCATCTCATATATTCACGTGAATGTAATCACAGATAAATGATGATAGCAAAGGATTTAATTTTTTTAATGAATTCATTTTTTTTGTTTTTAAACGTTTTGGATACAATTAATACATTATTTATTTACATATATACATAAATACACACAGATTATGGGTATGGGGCACAAAAAGGTAAACATAGAAACGGTGGTTTTGGCAGCCTTCTACATTAAAGCATATAGATTACTTTTCCAATGAAGCCATTTAGAAATATCCAAAGAATCACAACCTTTTTTTGTTCTCCTTTTTTCTGCTTTACCAGTTGGCAATCTTAGAAACACTACAGTGCTCCGAGATATCGTTCCTGCTGCCCAGGACCAATCCTTTGCCCGCGAGCAGGAGGGGAAATGAAAAGAACCGCTGACAGAGAACAAAGTTCAAATCCTTTACGTCGGGGCAGAACCGAAAAAAGATCGGGCAGACCGTACGGCTGGCCAAGCATGGTCCCAGAGAAAATCCAGAAAGGATAAGGCAGGAGGATTGCGAGCTGGGGTCTCGTGGGAAGGTTGCCTCGCGATCTTCAGGACTCCGCCTTGTTGCAAGTGCAAGGCGCAATTTTGAGACGTGGGTAATGTTGCCAAACCGATTTCCTGTTTAGCATTGTTCGCAAAGCCGAGCCGTGAAGGAATCGTTTGATCTGAACCTGATTACGGCGATGGCAACCACGGCGGTGCGGTGTGTAGCTGCTGGCGCTAGCGCACAGGCATTGCGGCAAACTGGTGGCTATGGTGGGGGAGTTGGCCCAGGGAGGACCAGTAAGGTGCAGATGGCGAGTAGTGTCATGGGGACGAAGCTGGAGGTCAGAGGTAGCGGCTCCCTCAAGAGTGCGGTCTCGCACAGGCATTCGTTTCTCGTGAAGGCCAGCGCGACGGAGGCGCCCGCCGCTCAGGTGGAGCTCAGTGCCGAACAGGAGGAGCTTTTGCAGCGGCGGAAAGCCATCATGGAGGCCGAGCAGCAATCCTCGGGGTTCGTGGTCACGGAAGTGGAGACCACGGAGCCCCAGAACTGGTATAGTGCGAAGGTGATGGGCGTCTCTGACGTCGCCGCGGGGGTTCGTTGCATCACCCTCATGACCGAAGTCTCCCGCGAGGTATAGATTCTGTTTTCCATGCTTCTCTCCGAACATCGCCAAACCGTCTCTCACCGTGCTATTCTCATTACCTTTTATTCAGTGGTCCTTTGAGAAGCCATGATTTAGAATTCAAACGGGGTTGAACATTCTTTGTATTCTTGTCTCACAACCCTGATATTCACGAGAATTCTCCTACTTCGCTCCATCACCGATATATGCAACTCGGCTTGAACGAAAATGTACTGAATTGCAACTACGCGTTTTGTTGGTCGTCTCTTGTTCGCAGCTTGTGCCGTTGGAGAATGCCTACGTGAAGCCTGGGAACATTGCCCAAATTCGACTGGACGGCAAGGAGCTAACCGCCGTCCCTTCCAGCCCTCCGTTCTCCATGAAAATCAACATGCCCGTTTTGTACAAGCTCCGAGGGGATATTCCTGCTGGAATGATAAAGCTGCCTCAGTTTTCACTGTCTGTGAAGGCCCCAGTTGAAATTCATGTAGAGGAAGCCTCAAACCCTGAGCTGTACACTGTCTCGGAGGGTAAGAACCCTAATCTAAAACTTCATTACACCTTTTCGTACTCCAAGTGATCTTGCACTCAATTTTTTAGCGTGGCTTCCTAGGTCGAGGAGCTGATGATCTGTGGGATGATTGTTTCAACAGGACAAGAGCTAGAAGTAGGACCATATTTGCAAACAGCAGGGCTTGACTTGAGACCCATTTTGACGCTCTCCCGTTTTCCCACCATTGTCTTCTTCGCAAGAGGTCGAGGTCTGGCTGTAGCACGCGCTATTGTTGAAGCCATAGACGGCGACGTAGGTAGCATGAGCTTGTCATTCCGTGAAGAAGTGCGGCTTTTCTGCTCAGCCTCGAAACCCTCCGAGCTTGCCTACCAGGTTTCATTTCAATCACGTGCTTTTATCTCTAGGGTTTAGGGGTTAAGGGATCATCCTTCCTTGCTGATAAAATGGTTCAAAGTCAGTGCAGGACATTTAAATTACGTGGTTGTCCTTCACATTCAATCCCCGAATTAAGTCCTTTCTCTATCAAAATACTGACCCTGACACTGAACTCATGTGGCTTAATTCATTTTACAGGAGAAGTTTGCCGACTGGGAATCTAGGAGCGTGAAGGTGCGTGCGACAGTTGACGACGCCGCCGGAGAGGAATGGCAAGGGGCTGTGGGCTCGTTCAGGTCCTTGTGGGACGAGGATGACCTGGAGTACGACCCCAATACCACAGCGGCAATCGTATGTGTGGAGGAGGAATCCAGGAAAGAGCTAACAGAACTCTTGGAAGAGGCCGGCATCCCGAAGGAGCAAATTTTGTCCTGGAAATTCTAGCTACACGATTGCCTCTTGTACCTCGGTGAATATGTGTGCAAGCAGAGATTTCCGTAGAGCATTCAAATGTGTGGCAATCGTGAACGGTGCTGAGTTATTGCTGCGGAAGGTCTCGATCTAATCTTTTCGAAAGCTTAGACAGTTTTGCCTGATGGACGGAGAGAGAGAGATGAAGAGAGACAGTATGAAGGAATTGGAGGGTAATCTCTCCGCCGCTTTCAGAGTTGGTGCCCTCATTGTTCAGACCATTCTAAAGTTGTACTGCAATTGGGACAGTGCTTGTGAAGGGCTCTTTCACACTCATAGGTTCATAGTTAATCACTATGGTTTCTTAACTATGTGCCAGCGTTAATGTGCCTGTATTGTTGTGTTTCGACGACATTAATCTATCTTGATTAGCTTTGTATAGGATTATGCCCTGATACACGTGTTTGACTTGCGGAGACTTGAGATTGTGTCCCGTCTTCTCAAAGTTGGAGTCTCGGCCCAGATTCGTGAACTCCCTCCATTCCTGAGAATTCAAGAATTCCTCCGCAAAACCTTTGAGATATTTTGTGACGTACTTTTTGTTGATGATGCTAATACATACATAACAAGAATTTGAGGCCCAAGAGTCTGCATATTAACGGACAATGTGAAGTCCGTCCCTCAATCGATCCTGCTACCCATGTAAGATAATGAAGGGGACATTGATTATGCATTAGAATCCAATGGTCTTATCTTTCAAAACAGTTGCTGCCCCTCTTTCAACCACACTATACAAAAATGCCAAATTCCCAAAAGATCGGTTGTTGAATGCCTTAATACTAAAACCCAACAGTGCAAAATTGGCCGAGGAAGGATAGTTCCCGCCTCCTTGAGCGTAGTTGGCCATGCCCAGGACCCTCTTTCATTGAAACACCCAAACTACATTAAGGAAAACATCGCCAAACCACGTAACTTTCTCTGGCAGCCAAAAAAAATCAACATATTACTCAATTCATTGCCTCCACACCGCCATTGCTTGGAGCTCACGAATACACTATTTTGCAACTCTACAACAGCTTCTGGTCCGTGTTTGCCCCCAGTGCGCTCTCAGATGGAGCACTCCTAAACGCCACACACAGCATTTCACCTAATATATTTTTTATTATTTGTAACATAATTCTATCTTAAAGACTCTTTGAAAGTCTCAAAAAAGTATTAACTAATATAATAATAAAAAATTGATTTAATTACATTTAAAAGACTAATATAAAAGAATATTAAACATATAAAAGAATTAAACAATTATTATTAAATTTAAATTTTATCTTTTGAAATTTGAAACCATTGGCAAATATATAATTAAATTAAATCATTCTTTAGAAGAAGATGTTGAGAAAATAGACAATTCAAATGATAAAATTTACAGTGATTCATCAAGATAAAGATAATGTAAAAGAATAATTTAATGTTGATATGTATGATAATATGATATATGAATTTGTGATCATGAAATAAATTTATAAGTTTTTTTTTTTTTATTATTATTATTATTATTATTATTATTATTATTATTAAAAATACACACATTACCATCTTTCATAGTATTTTTATTACTATGTATTTTAAATATATTTATTTTATATAAGAAAATAAATATGTAGAACATATTTTTTTCAAAGAAGAACATTTTTTGATTTTGTACATTTGATGCAAGTATATTTAACCTAGAAACTTAACAAATGTATTAAAAATCTAAGTAAAATTTGTCATATTCTAGAGATTTTTTATTTTTTTTTATTATTATTATATTATTATAAAGATCATTAAAGTTTGTTGAAAGAAATGATACAAATAATCTATTTTGTAATAATAAAAATAACAACTAATTATCATATTCAATCAATATTAATTAATTATAGAAGCATACTATCTTAATATTACTAATAGATATTTAGTGTTTAAATATATAATATACTCAATAGAAGAAAGTGTGATAAAATATGAAGAAGTATAAATAGAATAGAACCAGAATATAACCAGAATAGAAGTACAAATATGTGAAGAGAAGAGAATTAAAATTACTTGACAAAATGAGCTTGTAGTTTGAATTCTTATATTAATAGCCTAATATCTAACTACATGGACTTTCTAGTGTGAAGACACAAACCACTAGCGTAGTGAATGATATCCAATTAATATGTGATCATTTGTCTTATTAGACTATATGATGGCTCAGTAGGCTATGGTAGCTAAATGATATTACCACCAACAAATGGTGGCTACAACTTGTCAATCAACAAAGTGGTGTTAACTGCCTTTTTTACATTATGTCTAATAGGAGTTACACACTTTATTAATACTCCCACTTAATGACATATTAGACTAACTCAATTTGATGATGTCCATCGTCTCCTTGAATTTACAATGTTTCTTAAGAATTAGACCTTTGGCCAAAACATCCACAAAATGAGCTTCGAGTTTGAATTCTTATATTACTAGTCCAATATCTAACTACATGGACTTTCTAGTCTGAATACACAAACAACTAGCTATCAGAGGCATATACATTTATCCCAATAGTTACTTATATGATTAGATAGAAGTAGGTAAATATAGATTAATTTCATAAAGTCTTCTAGGAAAGCTTCCTAGAAGCTTCATAGATGCAATTTTGACTTTAGATGTGTTTGTAGGTTAGAAACTTCACCAACAAATTAACCACATGTTGATATCTTGTAGAACAAGTTAATTCCATATAGTAGCTTGTGGAAAAAGCTAATTATGTGGTGCATATATAGATAACTTGCCTTGTAAGTTAAGACATGTGGCTAGCAAAGTCAACACATGTTGGAGGTCCTATAGAATATCGCTACATAGCTCTTAATTAGAGAGTATATATGGATGCAAAAATGAAGCCTTCTTTACTCTTGTCAATGCCTTTCTAGTCCTTAGTCTTATTCCAAGACTTTCTAATCTTCTTGTTTTTGGCAATAGCTATTTTAGTTCAACATTATATCATCTTTGAGTGACTTTTTAGTTCCTATCAATGACACAAGAAAGTATTGAGGATTTTCTTTTTTTGAGATTCATGTCCTTGACAGTTTGAGAAGAGTGCTAGCATACTATTTCTATCTTATTTTAGAAGTAAATATATTATTCCACTTCTATTGTTGTGTTTTGAAGGTTGAGGACTACCTACCTTAAAACAAAAAATCTTATTTTTTAATACTAATCTTTTCCTTAAAAGAAGTAGATCACCCTTCTTTGTGGAAATTTTTATTAGAGGTTGTAGATTATCCTCCTTTGATTTAATTTTTTGGATTTTTTTGAGTTTTCTATGGAAGGAAAGATTATAGATGCCACTCTTAGCGAAAGTGAAAATAGATTTGCAACTATTGCAGAGCTTCATGAATTTGTCAACACTCTAAGAGTGAAAATCTCATGTATTTTCAATGTGAATCATGGAGGTACAATGCCTATACCTATGAAAGAAGTTCAAAATTTACAGCAAGAAGTTGTGTAGTTGAAGGAAGCAAGTAGATCGACTTACAACCAAATCCAAGGAATTTTGCTTCTACAAGTATGATGGGGATAAGGATTACTATGCTTGAGAAGTTTGATGGAACAAAATCAAAATTTTGAGGTTTTTCACAATAAGTCAAGCTCTATCTAAGGTTGCATCCTTTCCAATACCCCGATGGATTTACTCAAGTTGAATTCATAGATGCACTTCTATCAAGAAGTGATCTCTCTTGATTTACACCTTTAATACAAAAAGATTTCCAACTCTATGATTTGAATTCATTTCTAGAAGTGTTTACGGCCATTTTTGGAGAAAGTAATCGAAAAACAATAACAGAGACCAAGCTCTTATCTTTACGATAAGGATCATCGTTAGCTACCATATATGCTATTGAATCCCAAAACCTTCTTTGTGACATGGACTAAAATAATAAAGCCCTTATCAATTACTTTTGATATGTGTTGAAGGATAATATCAAAGACTTATTATTGACAATGCAAAAGACAAAATCTTTGAAATAATTTCTTGCAATCTCAATTTTTTTCATAGTTTAGCTCAAGGTCTTGCTATGCAAGTAGAAATTCATAAGTCTAGTATATCCAAATCCTTATTAGTAGGTGTGAAAGCTTTCATGCATGCCGCAAATGAAGGGCCATATTTTGCTATATATACCATGCCCATTGTTGATGGTGAGAAGATATCAAGTGATATTCCTAGCTAGTATCAAGATTTTCAAGACGTTTTTTAAAAGAAGAATGTAGATATTCTTCTAATGTATCATCCTTATGATTGTACCATCGATTTTCAAGAAAGAACTCAACCACCATTTGGATCAATCTATAATGTTTCACAAAATGAGTTGGATGTACTAAAAGAGTACATTGATGAGAACTTGGCTAAGAACTTTATATGCCATTCTAAAACTCTAGTTGGCTTTCTTATCTTATTTGTGAAGAAAAAAGATGGATCTCTACAAATGTGTGTGGATTATTGAAGATTTAACAAGATCACCATCAAAAACATGTATCCTCTACCTTTGATTTCAGGACTTCATGATCAAGTAAATCAAGCAGAGATCTATACAAAAATAGATCTACAAGGAGCATATAATCTAATCCATATCAAAAAAAGAGATGAATGGAAGACTACTTTTCAAACTAAGTATGGACACTTTGAATATAATGTCATGCCTTTTAGATTCACGAATGCACCAAATCCTTTCCAACATCTAATGAATGATGTCTTTTATGAATTTTGTGATGATTGTGTTGTGTGTTATTTGGACGACATTTCAATCCATTCTAAGAATACAAAAGAGTATAAAGTTCATGTTCATCATGTATTACAAAAACTAAGAGATGCAGGATTATATGCAAAGATAAAAAAGTGTGTATTCTACACTATTTAAGTTGACTTTTTGGAATACACCATTTTCAATGAAGGCATTATGATGGATCCAAAGAAGGTCCAAACTATCATAGCTTGGAAGATCTCAAGAACAGTAAGAGATGTGTAATGCTTTTTGAGCTTTGCCAATTATTACCAAATCTTTATCAAGAACTTTTTTTAAGTTATTGCTCCACTTATACATTTAATTTATAAAGACAAACTTGAGTGGAATAAAGAAGTCAAAGCATTGTTTGTTGCTTTGAAGAAGGAATTTACTTCTACACCAACTTTATATCATGTTGACTTTTCTAAGGCATTCTTTATAGAAATAGATGCATCACATTCTGCCTTAGGTATAATATTGTCATAAATAGGAACAAATGATAAACTCCATCTAGTAGTTTTCTATTCTAGGGAATTTTCAATAGCTGAGATTAATTATGAGATCTACGTTCAAGTTCATATGACTCTGTATTTGTAATCATAGATTGCTTCATAAAAATGGCACATTTCATACCATGTATAAAATCTATTT